CTAATCACTAGATTTTTTCTCGGTTGTTCCAAATTTCACACATAAATTAATTCATAGGTCTGCTTTCGGTTGAGATTTGTTTTTCAAATAAATCTTCGAATAATTCCAGAAATCTCGGTCAATCCGTTGAACATGATCCTTTCAGTGGTGGAGAACATGCTTTTTATTGATTTAAGATACAAGAAAGGAAGTATATAAACATAAGTCAGATAAAAATGCTTAAAATGTTTTTGCCTTGTATGGCCTGTTGTAGAAAGTTACCAAACTTTATTGTTACATACCCATTTATTAAGTAGTTGAACGGGTACATTGATTTCATAGAATGTGGTGACGCTACAAGATATCGAACTAAGTCAGCACCATTCAAGCACACCCGGGCAGCCCTCTTCAGAGTACGTGGGTCTCAGAGAAGCCAGAAAAGATAATAGAAAAGCACAAAGTACAAGTCCAGGTTACGAGCTTCCCCATCCAGCAAAACGCTCCTGGGAAGTTCCAAGACATCACGTTACCATCGATAAAGTCATTGGTAAAGGTGCTTTTGGACAGGTTGCCAAGGGAACGGCAGTAGGACTTCAAGGGAGGCCTGATACGACTACAGTGGCCATTAAGATGCTCAAACGTGAGTCATGTACTTATTTCAGGACATTTCTTACCGTTTTTTTTTTGTGTTTTTTGTTTTGCATATCATTAACATTTGCTATTTAACTCTCCAGCTAACGCTAAGGTATCGTACAAAAGGGAATTGATGAAAGAACTTGAAACGATGAAGAAGCTTAAAAAACATCCTCACGTCATAAAACTCTTGGGATGTGTTACGGAATCTGGTATGTTTTGATTATGCAGGTTTTTGATGCCAAACGCATTTTCCTTGTAAATTTACAAAAAAGGCAATAACAATTCGCTTTAATTTTTAGGAAAACGCTTTCTTCTTTGTTTTCAGAGGAACTCCTGGTACTGATTGAATATGTCCCTTTTGGAGATCTGCTTGGTTACCTGAGAAAGAGCCGTGGATTAAATGACACTTATTACAAAGACCCGGATATCAAACCTCGAACCAATCTGACGTCACAGCAGTTGATGAAGTTTGCCTGGCAAATCGCTGATGGCATGAGTTACCTGTCCTCAGAATCTGTAAGTTAACTAACAAATGCAAAAGACGTAATTTAATTCTAAAATATTCCTTGTAGGGCGTACCCTCATGGTAAGTTTTTCTGACATGCATACTATTTCATATTTTGGTCTAGGGCTTTTTCTGTAGGCGCACCCTCCAATTTTCAACGCTATCACCCTTGCTTTTTTGTTATTAACATGATTGCAATCGTTGTGCAGCCTTGCAGATGTACCTCACCCTCGACTTCTTCTGGTCTCATTGACTCCCATAAAGTTTTCAATTGTCAACAGTTCACTGATTATCGAAAGAGAATTTTCTCCAATTCTCCTGGAAACTGTAACAGTACTAATGCATTTTAATTTATTATCACTTTGGCTTGTAAGAAATACGCGCGCTGTTGAATTCGCTAAAAGCGGATAATTTTAGATCTGAACTTTTTTTTTAGTTCCTCTTTTAATTACTGATTCTCGCTTCTTTCACAATCCATTCCTTTAGATCATCCACCGAGATCTTGCAGCCCGTAATGTGTTGGTTGGACAAAACGAAACGTGTAAAGTGACAGACTTTGGAATGGCCAGAGATGTGCAACAGGAAAATATTTATGAACGAAAAACAAAGGTAATACAAAAATGGGGAGTACTCAGTTATAGAATATTCAGCATAATCACCTTACACAATAACTCTTGTGGCAGAGGTGACGTGTTTATGGTTTTCGATCAGGATATCTCTGGATTGGACCTGATAAGGAAATAACGGATACTTATCGAGTGCTATTTCATCTATAACTGTCGTTGATTTCTCGCTAACTATTATTTTTGTTCCCTTTCATAAATCTTTAGGGCCGTCTTCCAGTTAAGTGGACAGCTTATGAGGCGTTGTTTTATGGTACCTATACCACCAAAAGTGACGTGTAAGTATATCTGATCATAATTGTGAAAGATGACGTCTATTAAACAAGTGGTTAATGTTTAGCGTGCGTACATAGAGGTAAGGATTGGTATGGATGTTCGTGGGAAGTTTGGAGAGCACAAGAGAAGTGTAAGAATTCCTTTAGGAGCGGCTGACAGCAATTCTTGCTTCTTGACTGCTCCCCAGACTTTCCAAGTGCATCCACAACTCGATATACGCACAGTTACAGGCATTAACTAATTGTTGTATGACATAGCAGACACAATTTGTCCACGATATAATAGTCGCGTGCTACCTGAAAACTATAAGTAAAAAGTAAGGCAACAATGACAATGAGTATTTCGAGTTTAAAACTTTATTCAAAGAAGTGCTAAATATGTTGTCTTTAGAGCGAAGAATGTGTGAATTTCTTGCGCCTACCAGTCTCACGAAGTGTTAGGAATTACATCAAGGATTCTAACGAAATGCTATCGAAAATACTCGAAAAAATAATAATTACCGATCTGAAGAAGAGTCCAAACGTCGCAAAGCCTCATTTGAGATCAGCAAGTTCAGTTTTCTTTTTCAAGCCAATACTCGTGTTGCGTCGGGGAAACGAAGTATCGTTAACTCTAAAGCTAATTCCGTCGCCTTAAGATTTAAATGTCCATTCAGTTTCCAAATCTAGTGATATTTGGCATACTTACTTTTCATTTTGTGCCTCAAATTCAGTCTTAAAAACGACTGGAACCCACGGCTAAACTGGAAGGGGGCCTTGCAGCAAATACACTTGTACACATACAACGGCCGTGCGTCCTTAGAGATAGTAGACATTCTACAATGACTCAATAGCTAGGAATAAGATGAAAGAAGTGCGCACTAACTTATAAATTTTCCTCCTGTAAATGTTATCACTGTAAAAAGGGATTAAAAAGTTTGTCAAAAAGATATTCGTTTTGTCTTATATAATGTTTATGTCTTCAGCCAGCCATTTTACTCATGTTTTCTTTGCCTCCCTGCAGATGGAGTTATGGAGTTGTCCTTTACGAGATTTTCACCATAGGTAACGTCTGATGGAAATTTAAGAGACTGCAGAGATTTTTTGCCATACACGTATTTGAACTGAACAATTTTGTAACCGAAGTATTTGTGCTCATCCATTTATTTAAAATATCCACACGTCTACGGTACTAAACTTGAGGAGGGAAAATGCATATGCAAGAAATAAACTCACAATAAAGAAAAATATTTATGTGCATAACTATACAGAGCATTTATAAACAACGAGTCTGTTTCTAAAAAGTGGACATAAACGTTAATGCACAGGACTAAATCTATACACAAAACTTAACAAATTATTCAACATAAGTTTCGAAACATCATGTAGTGATATAAATATCAACCACAAGTACACAACTAATGAAACGTACAAACACTCACAGGTAATTAACACGCGAAAGCAAAACACACGGAAAACGGTAGAGAAGCAGGTTTCGCGAATAGCAATGCGTTCTGTTCAGGTAGACAAACTCCCTATGCAAATTCATACTCCATCGAAATGACATAGATGATGCTTTCATTGATGGTCGTTGTTTAAGACATTAACATTCCGACTGTCTTGTTGAACTCTTTCAGGCGGTTCACCTTACCCAAGAATGAATGGAAAAAAAATTGCCAACCTACTTGAAGAGGGATACAGAATGCCTAAGCCACAACACGTGGATGATCAATTGTAAGCTTCTATTAAGTCTTTTTCCTTCCTTGCAACAGGAAATATTCTATAAACTCTTTCACATCATCTGATGTTTGATGTTCACAAGATGAAATAATCCTGTATTCCATATAAAAAATTCTAGGTATCAGATCATGATGAGATGCTAGCAAAATGATCCAGATGAAAGACCAACTTTCACTGAATTAAAAAATCAGCTTAAAGACAAGGAAACTCTACACAAGGTGAGAATTATGGTGGACATGGCGATTTTCTTTTACGCTGTAGTATCTTTAAATTCATAGCTTGTCATTCAGATAGCCTTACTTGATATGTACTCATCTCTTCCAATTTGTGCGAAGTTTGGATTGCTTCTTCCTGATGTTTCCTTGAAGCAAACAAAGTAAAGGTTATTATAGGTTGTTATCGGTATATGAGAAGCAAAATAAAATGTTCCAACGACAGAAAAATCTTTATGGTCATTATATAAAAGATGATAAGACTATTGCAAAATTGCACTGAAATGTCCGCCAAAAAAGCGAACAATGACATCTCGTAATTCTAAAAATACTGCTACCTGACAGTTAATGTGGATAACTCATGATATAACGTAAAGGGGGAACACATTCAGTTTCATAATGCTATCTCCCTTTTTCTCTTTAGAGGCTGATCAACATGAGAATGTACGACAAGAAGTTGTATGCAAACGTCGAGGATTTAATAGTGTAGTTAGGTACACGTCCTCAGTGTTTGATTGGCGAACTGTTTGAACATTTTGCCACAATAAGTTTCACGGAATGATCATCCTCGACTTAAGTGCTTACTTTGTTAGGGAGTTTTACGAATCGGTCAGGTAACACATTTAATTCTAATTTAGTTTCATTTTCCATAAAGGTGAAGCTTTATTACGTCTAAGTTTTCGTATTCATAGTCAAGTATACCAACATTTTGCTGTTTAGCATCTTAAGTACATGCACGCTTGCTTTTGTTCAATTTTCTTATTATTTTTTTGAACGAATAAAGTCGTTCAAGACTGAATCAAATTAATAGATTTAGAAAGCCGTGCCGCAATCAAATTGATTGTCATTTTCTTTTATAGCGAGAGCATGACTTTCTTGTCTTAGTTTTTACCAGCGCTGATCAAAAGTTTAAGACGTAAAAAAGTGCAAACCCGAACTTTTCTTAAATTTTTTATTTCTGACTTCAATTCGCCGAACATTTTTTCATCACTATAAAGATAACAATAACAACAAATAACACTGAATAATAGAGAAGGTAAGCTTCGTGATATTTCATTTTGATAAACTTCATCATGAGGCAAGTTTATTAATAAATTAATTCATGATAAAATTAACAGCATCCCATTCCTAGAGATTTCATACAGGATTTAAGAAATGTATCAAAGAAAAGCCTTTACGTTGTTTTAAGCCTTGCTCAATTAAAAGTGAACTAAGCCCTGGAATCTTGGATCGCTTGCCAACGATCGCGTTTCCTATTTGGAATCTAGCATAAATGTAGCGGTAAATTTTTACAAATACACCGAATAAAACAAAGAATGGGACCAGGTTATCCTGGAAATGAGTTCTGAAATCATTCCATACAACATTATCTCGTCTATAAGTGCACAATTTACGCAAATCTTAGGCGTTTTGATCGCGACGCGAAAACTAGCGTAATGACGTCCTGAACTTGTCGGGGAGAACGGCAAAGCCAACACCGGAAGTCGAAATAGAGTCGTGTCCAGACTATCCCCGCGCTTTCCCGTTCTGAAATGATGTTCCCGTCCTCTTGTTAAATCACTCTAATAATTCCTTTCTGAAGACTGATTATAGCCATATTTTTCTTCTCATCTTTGTATCGTAGGTTATCTATTGGTAGTAAACAAATTTCAAAATATTGAAACACAACGGCAACCCTGGAATGGGGCTTTATCCTATCCCCTTGCGCTTCGATACGGTTGTCAGTTAGTGTAAATTTCGAAGTCTATGCTGTTACTGACTGTGAGTTGTCAGAAGTCAAGTCATTTGATGCAATTTACCTTTCGTCCTTCGAAGTTCTTTTTTCAAAACTGAATCACATCTGCATAAGTTAAAAATCTCTGTCATATGTAGAACCCAATTACTCCTCGGTCACCTTGTAATTTTTGTAAGTGAACAAGTGAATTCGAGTTTACACTTTTTCTATACTCTACAAGATAAGACGCGTAGAAGCAGTCTCGTCTGGGAGTTTTGATGAATATCTTGCAATCGTTGATTCAAGCAAATTACGTCTCGGGTTATGTTTTGAGAAACAAAATCGATCTCAAATGCTACATAATCCATTTTGTTACACAATAGAGCAAGCAGAACGGCTCGATCCCGCTTCTGAACTGAACACTTGGTAAATAAGAAAAAGAACGGTTAGGAGATGAAAGGTGGTTCCTTTCACCGATAGCAATTTAATCGCAACCCGTGACACTTTACCCGCAACGCATTAGGAAATGGGAGAAATATATAAAGTGCGAGAGGGTAAGACGTTCACAAGTGTGGGCATAGTGGAGACACTATTGTGGTGTGCCGACCCGCATGTAAAGCAACGGTTTACGAAGGTTTTAAATTTATTGAAAATGTACTACCCCCTTAGTTAAAATGCTGGAGATTATTAAAAACTAAATATTTATTTTTTTTAATGTGAACACGTCACGAGACTTAATATGCCCCAGCTAAAGCTAGGGAAAATCCGATGTTATGATCTATCAAACATTTTTGCTCGTATGCGATTGGTCTAAATCATCACGTGACCAAATATGAGCTAAAACTATGGGATATCAGAGGATATCACCCGAGTGATATTCTCCAATTTTCAAACCCTTCGTCCACTACGACAAGTCTTCGTTTAAAATTTAATTCAAGATGAAAGAGACTTTGTGTTTGTTACAGAAGAAGAGAAATATTTTTTTTGTTCATAAGCCGTAACAGATAACACTCAAAAGAAGAAATCCCGCACCGTAAACAGGAGGCTATTCGTAAATATTTTTTCACGCGCATTGCAATATTTCACAAAAATATGCTGGTATGTTTGCCCTTAGACATTATCTGGTCATTGAAGCTGATAGTTTTCCTCGAGTTTCGCTCTCAGGAAACTGTTTGCATCTTGGAACAGACAATGTACGCGGACAAATATCCGTGCATATTTTCGCGCCAAATAGAGGCTATTTTTCTACATATTCCCCAAGTGATATTCCCCAGTTTCAAAAGCTTACGTCCAATACGATAATTCTGCGTTTAAAATCTAATTCGATATGACAGAGCGTTAAGAGAAGAGGAGAAATATTTCTTTGTCTATAAAGTCGTACCAGTAGTAGCAAAAGCGATCTCAAATGCTACATAATCCATTTTAATGCACAATACAGCAAGATAGATCCCACTTCTGAACTGACCACATGGCAAATAAGCTTTGTTCGTATTCTTTAAATTCTTAGAAAAAGAACAGTTCTAAGAAGAGTCCTTTCATCAGTAGCAATTTAACCGCAGCCCGTGACACTTTACCCGCAATGCATTAAGAAATGGGAGGAATAGTGCGAGAGAATGGGAAGCTCACAACTGTGGGCATAGTGAACAAGCTGGTGTGGTGTGCCGACCTGCATGTAAAGCAACGGTTTACGAAGGCTTTAAATTTATTATAAATCTACTACCCCCTTGGCGAACTGAAAATGCTGGAGATTATCAACAACTATCCGTGCATATTTTCGCCCAAAGTAGAGGCTATTGTCCACATATTCCCCAAGCAATATTCCCCAGTTTCAAAAGTTTACGTCCAATAGGACAATTCTGCGTTTAAAATTTAATTCAATTTAACACAGCGTTAGGAGAAGAGCAGAAATATTTCTTTGTCTGTAAAGTCGTACCAGAGAACACTGAATTATGCGAAACATCCCACACAGTAAACGTTTAGCTGATCGTAAACATTTTGTCCCACGCACTGCAAAATATATATTAAGGATAGTAAATACAGCTCAAAATGTTTTTTCTCGGAACAGATAATGTCTGCGGGAAAATATGAGAGCATAATTTCGCGCAAAATAGAGGCTTCGGCACATATGTCATAAGGCGGCGCAGAGGAATAAATGAACGAGAAGGCGTTCTCTGGGATTTGAACCCCTCAAAGCATGTTCAAAACAGTATATTTATAGCTAAAGAAGAAAGGTGAGAGACGTGTCAGCAGCTGATTGGCGATATCAAATTAAAACACACGTGAAAAAATACGGTATTTTTTCACGTGTGTCGTTTCGGCTTTTCTTAAGGCTGGAAATCCTTGAATAACACCGTAGTTTATACAATAAAAATTTTTATTTCAAGGTGTTGAGGGGTGTAGGAAAAAGCACTGTAATGTTATCATTTTTGAAATATTCCCTTTACTCTCCCAGATACTATGAAAGGTCAATTCGCTTGGCAGTAATTTATATTGCTTTTTACCTACGCGTGCCTCATGTTCCAGAACTGCAGATTTCTGTTAACAGGCCTAATTAGTTCTTGATTGCCGGCGAGCCTCAGCAAGGTAGGGTCAGCGGTGTATTTAACAGGGAAGGGGCGACTTTTTTTTTGGATGTCAGATTTGAGACGTGCTCAATTTACCTCTTTCATCATGTAACGTCACATTGATTTGTTGTGATCTGCAAATTCCACACTGTATGGCACAGCGGCAAAATGAGTGCGCATACTTGGCAAATTTGACGCGTTCGAGGAGCGTTTAGTGATTCATTGCTTGAGGCTTTTTGGACTGTTATTGATGTGAACCAGTTGAACAATTTGATAGAGTTTGTTTTCGTGGAAGGTTCTGAACCGTCCCCATACCTTTGCGCGCATAAAATTTCTCGCTTGTTACAAGCATATACATTCATTTTGCCGTCGTCCCTGTGAGCACCTTGAAAGAAAGCATGCGCGAAAGCTGACTTTACCATCACCACATGCATTTGTTGTGTACTTGATCTTACATCACCGTAACCCAATCACAAAACAAGTTCTCTTAATTCGTCATCACAATTAAACAACTGCTGTGCAGAAATCTCATCCCACTTATCGATAGTCTAGGCCGGGTATCTATCTCGACACTCCCTGATGTAAAATCCTCTTAAGGGTTCGTTTAAATCACGTAGAGAATCGCAAGAACGAAAACCTAAACCTCTGACTCTACAGGACGGACTCTAAACGTACTTTCGCGTTTTTTATTCTGTGGGCCAAAACCCGTAGCTCTGGTTTACTTCACGTCAATCATCCATATTGTTCTTTATACACTGCTTAAGGTGCTAACAACGACAATTTTTATAACAATCGAGGTCTTTTTTCAGCTGGTGATCATTTCCTTTCAGGGGTGATATTTTAGGAGAAATTGATGCTAGTCACACTACTCCACAATTGTTAACGCTATTTATTGTGAACACAGTTTAGACTCTACTCCTGCTATATCGACCTCAATTCAGGAATTAAGTCATGTTAAGTCGAAGTCATGTTATTACTTATACTTATCCGTTGCCGACATTTATATACCTACATAAACTCCTTAAGCATCATTTCCACCAAGAGAAAGCCCTCGAAATGTAAAACAAGCTTATTTATATTCTCACATTAACAACAGTTCGTTTGATGAGCCACACTAATTCACCGTCCTATGGTCGTGTTGAAGTATTTATTTCACAATGGTATATGAGGAACCATTTGTGATGACTCGTGGGACTTGGAGATGCGACATCAATATCACACAGAACTCACCTAGGAAGGGGAGCTCACATCAGTCGTCGCAGTCAGTGATACACTTTCGTAGTTTGCTGACCTGCAGATTAGGCTTCAATACACCCACATGTTCCTTTTCTTTTTTTTTTCTTTTTCTTTTTTTCTAACTTTCTACAAGAGCAATCTTTCGCTGAAGGGGTTTTCAAAATCCGTCGCCGACTCATATATACCTATGAAAACTGATTAGACATCATATCCACCACGAAAAGATGTCTTTTTTACGAGCCCTGAAAATTTAAATCAAGCTTACTTATATTCTCACATTGACAACAATTAGTTTGATGAGCCCCACCGATTCGCTGTCGACTAGCCATGTTAAAGTGGTTTATAATGATACATCATTTGTGATGACTCATGGACTTGCCGGATGCTAATGTAATTTGTCGCTTAATTGCAGCTGCTATAATTACGTTATGGCTGTACCTAATACAGTTCTAGGAAGACGTCTTCAAAACACT